ACTTCCATCTGAGTTTAACCCTTCTACTCCATCTGAGAATTATTTATTTCTTTCATGTAGCCCATGCCCACTTCCACTGATGTACAAGTGACTTGAGTTCAGTCAGAGCTGCCCATTCAGCCATGTGAATCTCCTGCCACATCTCCTCAGCCTGTAAACTTCAAAACATGCTGTTCCTGTTCCTGAAGGAGGTTATTGTTGATAATCAAAAAGCTGGTTTAGACCTCTAAAACGCTCCCTCCCATGGGATCTAATCCACAAGCTCACTCAAGAAGTAAGTCCATTCTTCTAAAGACAAAGATCATTGTTCCGCTACACTTTCTCTTTTCCCACAGTAATATATGAGATAAACTCGGGAAACCACTGTCTCAACATACTGATGAATAACTGATCATAAATATAATCTAAACTAAAAACTATTACAAAGGCAAATGTTAAGGTCTGAAAGAATTTCATAAACATTTTTTAATTTCTCTGCAACAGACAGGACATTCTGCTACTTATGCTGGTTTCTGTAATGCACACAGCCTCTCATTCAAGTCTGAAGACAATGCTACTAAAGATGACAGAGCTGTGCAGTTCATCCATGTTCAAAAACCCCAGGGAAAACACCACCCTTGTCCCGCAAGTGTTTAAATGTGCAAGGAACCCATTTGTTTTTCCTGGTTATCTTCAGAAAGCTCTGTGTGTCCAAAGAGCTCAAGTGTGGCAAGCCTGATTACAGCAAAGGGTACACACACACGGTCAGACACCACACTGTGCTGCCCCAGCAAGATCGGGACACATATCAAAAAGTCAGAACTTTTTTTATTTCTTTTAATTGAGAATCTGTCTGAAGGAAAATACGAGTTATTGCAAAATGCCTACCCCAGCATCCTACATGTTGAATCTAAAGGAATCAGCATATTCTATCCCATATGCCTTAACTGTGGGACGGGGACTTCAGTTTAAAATGCAGGAGTATAATTCTACCCTCTCCTTGTTCCCAGGTCCCTCTGCAAAACAGTCACATTAATCTGATCTTCATGTTAGCGTTCAACACATCTTCTGGGACCAGAGTGATAGTGTTTTCCACATTTCTCTAAGCTAAGCTTCAGTGAATATAAATAAGCCTTCTAACCACTGGACCACACTCATGATGCATCTTGTTTGGCCGTGAAGCTGAAATTCCATTCTGTTTGTGCAGAAATAACAGAGGAAGGCCCTAGGCTAGGTTATGATTTGATGATAACTGGAGTCTCCAGGGAGATTGGGATGAAGTCCAGAGAGGTGCCTCAGAGCGGAAAGTGAGCTATACCATGACTCCCACTTATTTCACATCTTCCGATTCAAAACTCAAATGCTTTTATGTCACAGCTGGAAAAGCAAGTGCATGTTTGCTCTGCTGTGAATAAAAATAGAAGCAGTTTTGTGGATGCTGCTGTGCTGCTAAATGATAAAACCCCCACAATATTAAGAATTAAATGAGGCTTTTCTAACTGCAGAAAAGGCAGTGACAAGTGATTAATTCTATCAAGCATCAACCCAAGTGTTCTAACTAAATTAAGACCCAAACACAATTTATAGGACAAAGCTTTTGGACTAAAAATTAAATCCATTTAAATACCTTTCCAGAAATTATTAAGAACTGATATTATTAATAAGCAGCAGTGCAACTTGAAATCTAATCACTGAATGCATTCCAGTCAACAAGACTACAGAAAGGAAGACCTGTGTAAATACTGCGATGTTGTCACCACAGGTCACTGGAACCTCACTTCTGCAAGAGTGCAGAAATGTTATGGACAGGTAGATAAGGTCTGATGCAAATCAAGGCACTGAGCCTCCCTTGGCTTGCACATGGTATGATTCTTGGAGTATTCTGTGCAGGACCAAGAGCTGGACTCAATGATCCTGATGGGATCCTTCCAGCTCAGCATATTCCATGATTCTGTGGTTACATTCTCTGAAAATCTGATGGAAGTACAGCTACCACAACAACAAAATAAAATTACCTGACTGGAGTATAGTTAGTTATTCTCAACTGTGAGTCTTCGCTGCTACTGAAATCTCAGTTATAAAAGACTGACTGGTCCTTGGCCTTCAGCCAAGACAACAGTACAAATCCTTCCTGAAAAACGGGTCAGGGACTACAGCTCCAGCCTGTTTTTGTCCCTTTACCCCTCACATCCTCAAAGTGCTGTCTCCAGTAAGGTTGTGTTTTGATCAGCTTTAGCGCGACCAAGTTAACTTCGCCCACATCTGCTCGGTCACATCTCAGAATCATAATCTTTAAGGTTGGAAGAGACCTCCAAGGCCATTCAGTCCAACCATCTTCATAGGTATTTCTGGGTTTCCAACCTCCTATCAGCTAATACTTACCATTTGCATGCAGGAATGCTGGTTCTCTTTTACCATGAGTTGAGAAGAGGCAGTATCTTCCTTCTGGAATCTCTAGATGCTGCTTCTCCCAAGATCCTCATGTTTCTCAGAAAATTCTGTTCTCTTGAAGCTTCGCACTCAAAGGGGCTGGATCCCCAGACATTTCCCAAGTTTCCCATTGCCAAAGAGTCCAAAAGTGGCCCCTCCTTAAATCACCACTCCCTCTTCAACTTTTACACAAAAGACTCCACATTTTAGACTTTGTTTCCCCCACCTGGCAGCCCTATAACTACCCCAGGTATGTTGTGTAAGCATATCATGATCTGGTGAAACCCACATTTCCTTTTCAAATCCTCTATGATAGGTACAGGGCACATACCTGGTGGCCAAAACTGGCAAACAGCTCTGCCCAACAGCATTAGCCTAGGTTTTGACTTTCCACCAGTTCTTTCAAGCTCAGCTGTGAATTGGTTAGAGTGTAGTATTACAGTTTGTCCAAAGGAAAGAAATTTGTAACTGGAAATCACTACAAAACAAGATTAAATTCTGCCTAGTTCATCACAGACATTTCCTGTTTCTTAAGAAGTAAAAGGAATTGTTGGAATGGCTGTTTTTCTCCCCAAGAACTGGAGAAGAAAAAGAACGAAAACAGAACATTGTATTTAAATCCATACCAAATACAGGTATAACCAGATAAAAATTTACACAGTGCTCTTGACAGAAATCCAGTGTGGTCTACAAAAATGAGTTCTAACACACAAGAAAACACCAAACAAAAAGGAGAAATTCAAGACAACTGTAGCCTCAGTCAAGATGATTTGTCCAAAATTGCAACAGTTACTATCACGGGATTTTCAAGAACTGTATGGGTAATTGTGGTCAGCTTGGCTCAACAAGACTGAGCAGCTCAATACCTAAAAGAATGCAAAATTTCATACCTAGGAAGTGCCTGTTCAAACTCAGTATCTGACATTTTCGAAACTGACTTGAGTGTCGCAGTGCAGTTCAGCTCGCTCTCTCGGACACTCACGTTGTCTCTGATTTGCAGCAATGTAACAGTGGTGTTACACTACAGCAACTCAATTTCAGATTATACATTAGCTTGTATTTAGGTCATGTAAATTGTTTCCACCTTCTGCCCATGAAGATTAAATAAAGGTGAAGTCTTTGGGTGGCTCACAGACTTTTGTCATCTAACCACATTCGATTACCTGCAAAACAGCAGAGATCAAGCCATCTTCCAGAGGGGTTTCAGGTCCACCAGTAATGCAGTCAAAGGACATGTAGGACAATCCTGCTTTCCCACATCCACCTCCTTGGTGTTTACTATGATGAAGTTTGCTGCCTCCCTGTGATGCAGTTAATGTATCTTCCTATGTTGTGGCCTTAGAAATCACAGGACAGAGCAGCTGTACTGGAGTCATCCAGCCACAGAATCAACACTCATTCTTGTGATACACTCTCAGCTATTTGCCCAGGGATGTTGTTCCTCTGGGGACTGGGTGGTTTTCTTCTTCTCTTTTATGCAGGTTACACAGGAATTATGCCGTCAGGCTACCACTGCAGAACCACCTTTTCACTCCTAATTCAAGCAGAGACCAGCCACCTTCAGAAGCACTACCTGATTTTTCCAGTTTAAGTAACATCTTGGGGCAAAAATTCTCAAGGGCCAGGACATCCGGAGGTACTTACAGAATACTTTAAAGCTGAATGAATTCAAATGGCTTTACCAAACTTACAAGTTAGTTATCTGAGCAGAAAACACAACTCACACCCCTTACCTCTCCACCCCCTACACTCTCACATCTTTAACACCTTTGGTGCTCAAAAATAACCCAGTTTTTCTCAAGGTATCTGCCTAGAGGCTTTCAAGTATCTTTTGTCATAAAAACTGGTTACTTGTGACTTAATTTTATCAGAAAGAACAGCTGTTTTATATTTACACTGGCAGACACAGCTGTAAACCTAACTCCAAGAAAATTCATTGTCTTGGAGATCTGATGGCACTGTTGCGTGAAAAACTAACTGTATGCAGCAACACAGAGGCTACTGTTCACTGAAGGACAAAATCTGCTCACTAAAATCTGGAATCTAAAATGTATATACATACATCACGCTGCTTATACGCCAAGATGAAATGCCTTGAGCATCTTAGAAGAGTTCAGTATTTTGAAGCCCTCAACTTGATCCAAATGACGATGGGTAGATACCCATTCACTGTGGAACTATGACAGCTGCCAATAAGACTATTATTTTGACCCTTCTCATTGGAAAAATGAAGCCTTATATTGCCACTGAGAGCGAGCTCCAACAGGAGCTGTATGTTCCCATCACACTGCACTGTACTGACACCAGCCTCATACAGGACATTCGAATTTCACTTTTTAAAAAAAGTTTCAGGGGCAGCCTACACCAGCTTTATGAATATTTACTAACCACATCCAAAAAGCTTTCAAGTTTTCCTCCTGAGAGACGTGAAAAGTCGGCCAAGCAGTTCAGCTGCACCTCCAGGTTCCAAATGCCATGGCAAATCACTGCCTACAGAAGATTTGTCAGCTGACAGAAACCTTTAACTCCAGAGAAAACCCTTTCACCTCGCAGAATTGTTCCCGTAAGTAAGGCACACCAGACAGAGACGATTCCCACATGCTTAATCTTTATTGTGCGAATGTTGCTCAGAGCATTTATCCCCCTCTGCAGACACACGTTAAAAAAAAAAACCAAAACAACAACAATACACTAACAGTGGCTAGATTGGTGGACAACACATTAAATCTATTCGGTGGTAACTTGTGTGCATGCAGTTAAGCTCTGGTGGTGCCAGAAATCCTAGCCAGGAGGCCAGCCCAACTGACGGCCACCCAGGACATGGAGGTGTACGTGATAGACAGACTGCCCACCCTCAGGCCCTTCATTCACAACCATCCGGAATCCGTTGGTCAGGCCCAGGTTAGCAGCACACTTCTTGCCAACAATCATTAAATGCCCAAGAAGCTGGAAGAGAAAGAAAGAAAGAGAAAAAAAAAAAAAAAGAAAAAAACAACAACAGCCAGAAAACACACAAAAAAGAGGAAAGGGCAGGGGAGGGAAGGAATAAGAGCAGAGAATCAATAATTCTCAAAAATTCAGCCACTGCTCTTCAAACTGTTGTCTGATTGCAACTGACATTTTCCAAAATAAAAACTATAACGACTGACTAGGCAAAATATAGGGGGGAAATAGAGCTACAGACTTTTCAAGCCAGGATGTAACAGACTACGAAAGTGTCGCAAAAGCCAAATTATGGCTAAAGCCCCCATTACTGGTTCAGACAACGTATATAATTCTGGTGGAAAAGAAACTTTATCTTACCATGTAAAGCTTTGCAAAATCTTTAAGCTTGATGTTTATAGTTACAAATGAAATATTCAGCACCTCTCAGCTAACTTTCCTTTTCTTCACCTCTGACCTGCTAAAAACCCCAAAGTACTACTGCCTGTAAACCATGAAAACAGACATCAAGAGTATAGCATAATAAATACCAATTCATTTTGCATGGTAAAACACACACAGAGATCTTTTTTCTTTCTATGACTAATTTTACTGGAAAACTTTAACTCCATTATCATTCTAAGTTAGAGAACAAGCATTATAGTATCAGAAAACTACTCTGTCACTTTGATATATCAAGAGGGTAAGGGGGAGAGCCTGCTACATTGTGAAGTAATTAGAGGCATGGCTTGGTGTACAGAAGGCTTCTAGAATACTTACAGATTCATCAGAATCTTCTGCTTCAGACAACCTGACAATTGGCTTCTTAGGAATCACTAGGAAATGTGTTGGAGCTTGAGGTGAAATGTCATGGAATGCGAGGCACTGGAGAAACAGCAAACAATTAAAATATGATTCGCCTGACAGAAAGGTAAGAGTTTCAGTAAACCAACACGCCCTGCGAAATACATACACGTGCCGATGATCAGATAACCCAAACATAAACAGAATGTTGATTTTTCTTGAGTGATTTATTATTCTACATAGTCTCTAATTTCTAAACACAAAACACTACTTACCAAGACATGCTGGCACGAAAAAAAAGAATTGTAATTCCATTTAAAAACTACAGTCCTCTCAGCAAGGTTAAATGTAATCGGGTTCATGATCTATTATTTCAACAGATGCATAACAACTAACAGAGCTGCTGGCGTGACTATAGAAAGTACATTTATGCTTATATTAATTTTTTTATTAATGCTATGTTTAATAAAATAAATGGTAAATGGCTGTTAATCATCTTCCAGTTACATCTGAATATTGCCTTGGCCAAAAGATAGCAGGGCAATTCCAAAGAACCTGAAGTTATTTGATTTGAGACCAAATTACACTTCTGTTCTGAACAGCACCAGGTATTTCAGAAAAAGATTTCAGAGTAATCCATTAAGACTGGCTCTATTTCAGACACTCCCACACTGAGCCAAAGGCATCACTTTTGAAACATGAACTATCAGCAGTGAGTAGTTGACTCTCAACTAAAGTTATGCAAATACTAAAACTGCTACCAATCAGAAACTGAAAGCAGCACCTAACAATCTCAAATTAGGAACTGCCAATAGGTAAGAGAAATAAAAGAGAAAGCATAATAAAAGGAAGCTATGTCTCTGTACAAATGGCCAGCCTCAGGACTGGGACTTGCTACTGCAACCAGGGCAATCTGCAGAGGCCCAGCACGTGCTCTGCCATCATCTGTCAAAGGACACCTCCAACGTGCCCCCCACATGTAACACTGGTTATATCACAGAGAGTTCACACTTAAAAACACACCAATTCTTCCAAATATTTATTTCCTGGATACTTTTATTTCTGTTTAAGAAGATATACTACCCAGGTTTGAATCTCTGACGAACCGAACAGAGAAGGACAGTAAGCAATTAATCCACGAACAAAACTAATTTGCACCCAATTAAGCATATCTTAATTTGAGTTGATCATTTTGTAAGCAGTTTTTCTACTACAGGTGGCCCACGCAGAGGCAGAATGTAAATGGTCAAACTGTGTCAAAGAACTTAATGAGCAGAAGACCAGCAAAAAGCTGGGACAAACAGCAGAAGTAGTATTGAGCAAAAAGCACAATCACAGGAAGTCCATGACTGCAAGGTAAACCAATCTTCAGTTCAGCTAGTTTAGATTCGACTGGCACAACAGTGATAAGGCATAATTTCACAGAGACTTTGTACTTTTTAGTATGTCCTCTTCTCTGCATGTCAATTAATGATTAAAAAGACTCCTTTACCCTTCTCCTTGTAACATTTCCAGCCGTATCTAAAAAGACCTTGAAGGAGTGCACATAACTAATTAAAAGATCACCACTAGTCAACTAAACTCTAAAAGAAATTCTACATCGCTGTGCAATTTAAGGTAAAAATCAACCACGATGCTTAAGGTAATTTACTCTTCCAGAAAATATATTCTGGACTAATGGCTGTCAAGAGTGGGTTATACTCTTTAAGTCACTCTAAGAGTGCTCTGGTTACCACTGCAGCTGAAAAAAAACCTCATGCAGCTTTGACCCGGGTAAAGAAAGAATTCACACCCTCACATGAACACAGAGCTGTAACACAAGCGCGATTTTCAGAAGGCAGCGAAGATTCCCAACACTCTTGAGAGAAGAGGGCAACTGCAGCGTTTCTGCACCAGCTCTCTCAAGCTACTCGGAACTTTTAAGCATAGAGATCTGACACCCTTAGCGAGCCTGCTGAACTCCACACTGAAAATGGCCCTTCATTTTGAAAGTAAAAGCAAAAGCCCCTGTCAATGATGGATTCTGTATTTCTCTTTGAAGGAGGGGGGGAGGGGAAAGGGGGCAGGGGAGCCTATATTGAATACTAGTTAGTTTACAGCTTGGAGATGATCACTGCATTATTTCCTTTAGCCTCTAACGCGCTGTGATGCACCAGCCCCAAGAAGTCACACAGTCACCGCTGGAAACTCTTGCTGCCTGCAGCACGACCAGTGCTATTTAAGAAGAGCTCGAAAAGCTCCAAATGTCTTCCAATTTTCCCTTTAACAATCCTTCCCGCAGGGGAAGGTTTGGCGGCTGCTGCCCCACACCAGCTTTAGAACCCCCGTGCCCTGGCCGGGAGCCCGAACGGAGCTGCAGGGACGGTGCAGGAGCGCCCCGCCCGCCCCGCCGAGCGCCTCCACGGCACCCCCACGGCCCGCTACGAGCCGGGGCGGAGCGGGGCGGCCGCGCACCTGCTCGTCCTCGTAGATGATGTTGGCGGGGATCTCCTTGCGGATGATCTTGCCGAAGATGGTGTCCCCGCCGGGCCGCGCCGCCTGCGCCTTGCTGATCTCGTCCGCCATGGCGGCCGCTCCCGCCGGCCCTCGCCGCGCCCGCCGCCCGCGGCCACGCCCCCCGACGCGGTCATTGGGCCGGCGGAGCACCGCCCGCCACGTCCTGCCCCGCTGATTGGTCGTTTCGCCTGTCTTTCTTCCCGCCCGTCACCGCCCACCGCTCTGGCGCGCCCCCCCCTCCTCGCTGACCTGAGGGGCGCGGAGGGATCCGCGGGCACGGCTGGATGTGGCTGCCGCGGAGGGATCTATGCCGTGAGGGGAAATCGAACGTAAAGAGTTCGGAATGTAAGGAGTTCGTGCTGTCCCATTAAAGGCTGTTGTTGTAGGCAGAAATATTGCTTTATCAAATCCAACCCGAGTGTCTGTGTGACTTCTTGGGGCTTCCCCTTGCAGACTGATTCGGGCAGGGCTGCCTCTAGGCTTTCCCGCACAGGTCGGCAGGTGTGGGGTGCCGGTGGGGGGGTGCCTCCCACAGAGGAGCAGTTTAATGTGCCCAAAAGTTACAGAGGACACCACAGTGTTACACGGCTCTACATCTACTCGTAAATGCCTTTTTTTTTTTTTTTTTTTTTCCCGAGCAGTGAGGAGAAGAAAAAAAGTAACAACACGGTTTTCGTGTGGTTTAACGAGAACAAGTTCACGGTGCTGCTTCACGGCGTCAAACCGCAAGATTGCGGGTTCAAATTAAGATATTGGGAAGAAATTCTTCGTTGTGAGAGTGGCGAGGCATCACAAAGGTTCACCCGGGCAAGCTGTGGATGCCCTGCCAGGGCATTTGCTCTGAGCAAAATGGTTTAGTGAAAATCGTCCCTCCCCATGGCAGGGGGGTTTGGAACTAAGGTGATCTTTAAGATCCCTTCCAATCCAGACCATTCCATGGTCCTGTGATATTCTGAAGCTCGCATATAAAAGAGATTGATTTTCCCCCAAGCTTTGTCTAGGAAGATTTTGATGCAGGCATTTATACATGGCTGCCTCTCGACACAAATGTCACAGGAGAGCCTTCTGGAGGAAGGCAGGGGATAAATACTGCTAAGTGGTTTAAATCTAATATGGCTCCATATTTGATTACCTGAACTTGTTAAAAAAAAAGGCGGAATTTGTCGGATATTTCTGGTAATAACTTTGAAATAGTTTATCTTGAGATACCCTAAACAAAGATCTGATAAAGCAGATTAAACACTGGGATAATGCTCTGTTCCTCAGTTGGTAGTTCTGGATTAGGATATTTTGACATGTATATGTCCTACAGATGGTATTGGAGCTTTATGACATCTAAACAAGCATGGAATTGGTGCTTCCAGGATAAATTTCTTTGATTTATATTGTTGCCTAAGTTTATTTAGTAAATATATAATTAATTTTTTTTTCCTTTCTCAGGAATTAAAGATATTTCGTGAAAGAACAAAAGATCTGATATTACCAGCTAGACAGATTACAGAGTTTAACTTATAGACACTTGTTCAGGATCCATTTGCACACGGTAGTGTACTTTATGCAGTTCCATGGACTGTGGTGGAATCAGTCTAGAAAGCATATTTCTATGTTAAAAGAAGACACAAAGAAACAATTTTAGAAATTTGTCTGAAAAAGTAAAAAGCATTTATTTCATATAGTTGACTTCAACATATATTTTTGTCTCACCATGTAAATGGCAAATTTTATACTATTTTGAATAAAACAGGGTCTTTTCAAAGAGTTTCATTCATTAATTCAAAATAATTATTACTGAAAATAAATCTATGAATAAACATCACATCTCCAGCAAACAGAATGAGTTTATGGGGCACATAGTACAAGATAAGTATTTAATAATTGCTTATTATTAAGTATTAATAATTAATAAATATTAATAAATATATTAAAATTATTGGGTAATAGTTTCTTGTTCCCCTTTCTCAATTATCTTTCAATGTAATTGCAATTAAGCAATTAAATAGACTATGTATTGAAGCTAGAGATGTAGTGAGCAGTGAAGCTGATTACACAGCAAATCTCTCTGCCGCCTTTAGCTAATGCTGGGTGATGTGTTATTGAAGTAAAGCTTGTTTGTTTTTCTAGAGAGTGGCAGCTGAGTTTTATACAAGTACTGGAAATGGCCATGGTATCACTGGGCCAAGGCCGGGCTGGTCCCTCAGGATGTGGGTAAGGCAGGGCAGGGCTGTGGGGACTTTGATGTGAGCAGCTGAAAAACTGACCTGACTAGAAAGGGAAAATGACCGAACAAAAGAAAATGCCTGTTGGAAAACACCAGCAGAGGAAAAAAGCCTGCCAGCCTGGGAGCTGAGATCCTGGGAACCAAAAGTGTCCTGGGAAAGCGCAGCTGGCCCCTCCTAAGTACAGCTGGGTACCCTAGAAACCAGAGACAACCTGAAATACCACTGATAAGAGCAGAAACAAGGAACTGCAGCCACCACTTTCCTTCTGTAAAGGTGAAAAAAGTAGTCTGGGAAAGGAGAAGGCACCCCGACTAAGTAAGGATTCTTAGGGACGATGCGGGAGGGACGAGCCGGGATGGGCGACCTCGGAAGGGCGATGGCCGAGGAACAGGACAGGTGGCAAGGGGCAGAAACTGAGGCACGGGGAGTTCCACCTGAGGACGAGGAAGAACATCTTGGCCGAGCGCTGGAACAAGACGGCCCACAGAGGGTGCGGAGTCTCCCTCGCCGGAGATATCCACGGACCGCACGGGCGGCGGCACCGCCAGCAGCCGGAGCGGCACGTCCGGGATCGCCTCTCCGACACTGCCCATCCCGGCTCGTCCCGCCCTCATCGTCCCTCCCGGATCGTCATTTCCCTGGCTCCGTCACTTCCCTGCTCCGTCACTTCCCCGCTCGGTGCCCGGGCCGGGTCCGGCCCGCCCTCCCGGACCGCCATGGGGAGCCGCGGGCAGGCGAGTCACACACACCTTCTGTACTCACGGGAGCTCTCCGGGGCGGGTTGGAGCTTTGTAGCGTTTATAGGAGGTAAAAAAGAGATAAGGCTTTCAGGATAAGGAGGGCTCAAAAGCTAGGTAAAGGAAGGGAGGGTGTTTTGTTTTGTTTTGTGTTTTTTTTCACGCCAAGGGCCGTTGTGGGAAATGGAGACGAGACAGGATAAGCGGAGGTTAAAATGCGTGGAAAGCACGGCTCGTGAGGGTAAGGTGGAAAAAAAAAAGCAGAGAGCGAAGAATTATTTAAACCGTTCTGTGTTTGCGGTACTGTCAGGCCCGAGAACGCCTCTTTCATCAGTGTTCCTGGTTTTGGAGCGCTGATGCACCGGGGTGTTTGGGGAGCTGTGTGTTCGAGCGGGGTATTGGGGAGGTCGGAGGAGTCCCCACTGATGTGCCGTGATCGAGGTGGGCTGGTGCGACTGCCCCGTGGCTGGGGTGGCGAAAACTGCCCAGGAGGGGTTTGCAGAAACAGGGTAAGAACGTGCTGAGTTGGAGTGGGCCCACAAGGATGATCGAGTCCAACCCTCAGCCCTACACAGGAGCCTCCCCAAGAGTCACACCATGTGCCTGAGTATCATCCAGACCGTTCTTGAACCCTGTCAAGTTTGGTGCTGCGACCACTGCCCTGGGGAGCCTGTTCGGTGCCCAATCACCCTCTGGGGGAAGGACCTTTTTCTAAGATCCAACCTAAACCTGCTCTGACACCCCATTCCCGGGGTCCTGTCAGTGGTCACCGCAGAGAAGAGATCAATGCCTGCCCCACCTCTTCCCCTTGTGAGGAAGCTGTAAACTGTTATGAGAGTGGGAGGGTGCCTGAAAATTGCTCATCAAAGAGTTCGAAATAACCGTAAAAAACTTCTGAGTTTCACCATACGTGTCTTTGACACAAAACCAGTGGTAATATTTATTCAGTATTTACGAAGATGGTGAAAATATTATGGGATAGAAATATTGAAGGATGTCCTGAAGTAATTTAGTCAAATCCGTTAAAATACATCTACGAAGGAAAGAATTTATTTGCTGCATTCTAATTCTGTGAGGTTACTTTCCACAGATTAACCCATCTAGGGAAGGTTGCTATTAAAGGCAAAATGGTTCTGTTCAGCTGCTATTTATTAAGCACCTGGAAGCTGAAAAGGAGCTAGCAGGCTCCCTGTTATTTTTTATATGTATCTGCTCAGATTGATTTAACCGATTGTGAAGTCTCATACTAATTCTTTTGAAAGTGACAAAAAGGTTTTTAACCTGAACATTCACAAGATTCTTGTGCAATTGAGAATGCACTAATTTGCCCTCTTTCCAGAAAGATCTGTCATAAAGTTGCATACACTTCTCAGCATGCTGAATCACATGTTACAGTAAAAGTTATGATGTTGTCTCATCTTCATGGGGAGGTGAGATTTGAAGTTGTCCCTTGACAGCACTAAAGTTTAGTATGTTAAAGAAGCAGCACTGAACTGGAAAGTTGCATGTACTTTACTGGTTTGCCTTCTTCACCTTCCTAAAAGCTGTCTTTCTGTGTGTGCACACTTCTGGATGAATTATCTCAAGGTGTGGCCAAGTGGCCAGCTGAGTGGAGGACGGAGAACATAGCCTGAAAATCTAAAACTGCGTTGGCATTGGTTGAAAACAGTAGCTTTCAGAGAAGATTACCATTTCTGTCATTGGCAGACATAAAGCAGAGACAACACTTTTGTCAGGGTCCTGCCAGGATGGTTTATTTGCATTTTAGTCTTTGGGGACAGTCTTGTTTTCATCTCCAGCTCAGACACAGAACATGCTGATAAAGAAGGTGGCCATTTCACAGTTATAGCCCTGCGTTTCCTCGGTGCCCTTCTAAGAAATTTTTGGAATACTAAATGTGAGAAAACAATTTAATATTATTAAGAAGTACCTGGATTGTGCCTCCTAGAGATGCCAAAACGTGCTAGGAAGTGCTAGAAAGAGCCTCAAAAGGTATCTTGTTATCAACATTAGGTGTTTTTGTGGTGCTTGTCAGAGATCCTTTCCAGTCTCTGACAAACACCAAAGAAGTCTCATAAGGACTTGAGGATTTCTGTAATTCTATGTAGTCTGTATGAGTGAACAGCCAAAGCCACATGCCTGTGGGCTGTGATTCTCTGGGGGTTTGCTTTTCATACGTATTGAGGTGCATCTTCTTCTACATTGTAAGTCCTAATTTTTTGAGTGTTTGCTTTTACTGAAGTTTTTTGTTTGCTGACCTGGCAGTTATATTTAAGGGAAGGACTTTGCTTTGCTTTGGTTCTGCCACACCACCTGTAGAAGATTATGCCCAGGCATTGCACAGAGCCATGACAAATAATTGTTGAATTAGTTAATACACAGTTTCAGATCCTTTTGAAGTTCACTTTTCTCAAATTGGTTTGTAAGTGTAACAGTACTTTAGCCATCTCTATTTCTGCCTTTATCAGTGATTGGAGAACATCCACTGATGTACCCTTGATAGTACCTGCAAGTAACTTGACATTTAGCATTATTCCAATTCTGTTGGGTTTATTTGACATCAGCACAATAAATATGTTTGTGTCCGTGTATTTTCAAGGTTATATACCCATCACGCCAAATAATTACTTAGGAAGGTAACGCTAGCATCTTAGATTAATTTGAAATGTGTAGAACTTGAAATGCCTGGGATTTTGATTTCACCACATCTGCTTCTACTGCAATTTTTTTTTTTTAACCAGGAATTGAAGTAAAATATCTTAGATTTTGGTTTGATTCTGTTGAATTCTCTATTAAATGGAAAGAACATGAAATTTCAACCAAAACGTTTTTAGTTGAAACATGTTGATTTTACCAGAGAATCCTGACAGCAAATAAGTTAATTCTATTGTTGTATTGGCAGGTTTTAAAGGTTTTTAAGTTGTTACACCGAACACGGCAAGAAGTTTTTAAAAATGATACCAGAGCCCTTGCAGGTGAGATATTTGTTTGGTGTTTGCTTACCCATATTTCTGTGGACCTTTCTTCTCCAGAAACACAGAGAATTCATAACATAATTTTTCTTTGCATTATTCTCTTCCATATTTTTAAGTAGTTATTGGGAGAACTTGTAATAAGTAACCAGAGATCCTGTAACTTGAAACGAAAAAATGATTATTAGATTCTAGCACTCAAGCCATATTTTATAAGGGAAACATCTCTTTTTTTTTTAACCCTGCTAATCTTCCTGGGAGATTTTTTTTTTTTTTAAATTTTCTTTTTAAACCTCCTCTGTTCAGTCCAGCCAAAGCATGTTTAACTGTACTAAACATTTGAATTAGTTGTCTGTGTATGATTTCTCCTCAAGGGATAAGTGCTGGTTTTTTTAGTAAACAAGCTTCTGTATGAAGTTCAGAATGCTAGATAGGGAATCTTATTTTATTCCTATACTAATTGACTTAAAATATGACATAACATGACTTGCAAGGAAATCTTACTTTGTAATGCTTAAAGCAGAGCGTCCCAGGAAGGTGGAATAAAGGAGTTAAGATTCTGAGCTTTGAGGCAATGAAAAGCACAGGATACAGTTTTTGTTCACTCTTTGGGTTTTTTGTTTTCTTTATTTAGCTGCAAGACAAAAGATAAATGAAGAATTCAGAAATAACAAAGATGAGACATCTGAGGAGAAGATAAATGAGGTACTTCTTATTTTCTTTTTTTTTTTTCCCCCTTTGCAGAAGAATACATATAAATGACCTTTTTTACTTAAAGGGTCTTTAAAGCAGTGGAGTTACATTGAGAAATCACAAAAGCCAGCTTAGTTCAAAAAAGCTGCTACATGTATCTCTGTTTATAAATATATAAATACCTCCGATGGTATTAATAAGAATTTTTGCACATACAAAAATACATAAGTACAGTTCAGTATGATTATTTTGAAGTTTATAATAAAATTATGGGGAAAATGCTTACAATTGCTGTTTTCATGTAAATATTTTATACTTTGCTCGTAACAGCTTGGTCACTTGAGTTTACCTGGTCGTCGTGTAGACAGGCACAGAAGGATGCAGAGAAATTAAATAATGTGCTCGGTTACTGGCAGATTACAAACAAGTCAGCATCTTCTGTGGGAGGCAAAAACCAGCAAAATTATTATGACTGATTGTAATATAGAGGTGTTAATTATACTCTAGGGATTTTTTATTTCTTTACCCATGGTGCATTAAAAGTACAACATTCTGTTAACTCACTAAGTTAGTTTCCTTTGCTTAGTGGTCACCTTTACACTTTTTACTGAGTCATTTTTCTAAAACTTACTGAGGCCTGATGTGAAACTTCTGTATTTTAGATGATTTTAGTTCTTAACATCTATAGAGAGTGAATAACTAAGTCCTTGTCACTCAGCCTTTTAGCAGACTGTATTTACATTGTCGCTGGGCGTTGGCTGGACAAAAGTGCCTCCATTCATCCCTTGCAAAAATAAATGTAAACCTTTTCCTCATACCAGCCTCTAGACAGTAACATAAATAGTCCATTTAGTTAGGACTTTCTGCATTTCTGCTTGTTGTCAGCCTCCAGTAGCAACACCCTTGTGTTTGTGTTCCCAGTATCTGATCAGCTCAGCTATGTGGTTTGTGGGTTTGTTTTTCTTTTAGTAGATGTTCAGGAAAAACACTCGCTGTGATTTTTAAATCTGTATTTGTTAGGATTGGCAACCTGCAAAATACACACGTAGCTTTTTAATGTGGGTTAGTTGATACTTGATGGATTGTGTCAGTGAAAGAAATGCTGGACCTTCGTCCCAACTTTGCGCTCCTGGAACATCACAGAACCTGTCAGGTTTATTATATATACCTACATATATACATTTGTACATACACACTCTGAGGGCTGCAGAAGGACTGAATCAAATGATACACAGGACTTGGGAGAGTTTGGGCCCTTGCTTGCATAAACACAGTGCTGTCAGCGTTCTGCTTTGGACAGCAGCTCCAAAATTCAGTACCATCATGATGAACCCAATGTGCATTACTTTGCTGGAGTAGAAAGCTGCAGTGTATTCTGATATGACACTTGAAGGGGAAGGTGTGCTTCAGGAGCAAGCAGCCTGGCTGCTAGTGGCCTTTCAGTGGGGAGAACTGATGGATACCTTCTCCAAGCCTTGAAAGGGAAAGGCATGAGGAGAAATGCAGTGTAGATGTCAAGCCTTGAGCTCTAACCTTTGCAGAGATCCTCTTCAGTTGGTTCACACTACTTTCTAGCGTAAGCATGCCTCCTAAAGTGTCTCACTTGTGCAATTTCATTTATTTCTGACAAACAAGCATTAGGCTTCTCTTCATGGCACAGCAGAACAACTAGCAGGGGCGCTTCAGCTTATCGTCTTAATGAGGAAAGGAATTCCAGGCCTTTTGCCAAATACTAATGCCTCTGCTAATCTTAGGTAGTGCCTTGTTCTTGTACTGCTTTGCTGTGAAACCTCAGAATTCTTAATTCTTGTCATGTTTTGCCCTTGTTTTTTTCTCCCTATTTCAAGAGCAGTAGTGTTAAAAGAATGAGATTGCTCTTTTCACTAGGGCAGGTATTATTCAGGCATTCAAAATGTCTTTGATCATTGGAAGCTAGTTAATTGTTTCTGTAGTTGCATTTTACTGTATTTGTTTGCATGGTTTTTTTATACTTTGCTGTATGTTACTGAGCTGAAGTTTCCTTCTCTCATCTGTGTATCAGAGTAGTTTATATATAAATCTGTAAATTATTCCAGCATCCCTAAGGCAAAAGCTACATATAGATAGCTAACTGAATAATTGAACTGACTGGTTTTATTATTTGAATAGTTCTCTAATATGGAAAACATCTTCAGGAATAATCACATACCATTTAAATTACTCTATCGTGTTTTATGTGCCTTTCTCGTTCCTTTTTCTAGCTTCTGAAAATAGCTTCGGATGTTGAAGTGATTCTTAGAACTTCTGTTATTCAGGCAATTCATACGGATTCTGACAAAATAGGTGAGTCTGCATGCTAAAAGGATGTTTTAAAAGGTTATAGTTGTGTAAAAAAATAAAGATTGGGAAAAAAAAAAAAGTAACTCACTATAACTCTTACAAGGGACAGTAATTAGGTAGCAAGTCAGCTTGGAAGTGCAGGCTGGTCAGTGTATGTGTAAATGCAGTAGCCACAGTATCTTTGTATAGGTGCTTTCTCTGCCAAGGAGGTAGAAGCTGCCCGAGGAGAATTAGCAAGGGTACACTGTTCATAGAATAGCATTTTGAGGATTGAGTGTTCTTCCCCAAAACCTTTTTCCAACAATTTCAGACTCAGATTACGCTGTGGAAGATTTGTGACACAGTGGTGGCCTTGATGCAAAGTCTGCCCGATTCTGAAAGTTGAGTCCTAGCTTAGAAGGTCTTTTATTTTAAGGTCAAACACTGGAGAAAGCATACAACTGTGTGCTAGAGAGTAGGGAAAATCTTCACCCAAGTACATTGTTTCCTTTCACTTCTGTTTAGTGTTGTCTGTAAAGTTTTGTAACAGTTGTGAGGTTTAGGTTTGGTAAAGCATTTAATTTTAAAACGGCAATTTTGATGAAGCCCAAAGATATGTCTAGACCAGTGTCAAGTCTTCCACAGAAGAAGAAAAAAAAGCTGAAAACTTGTCTTAGTGAGAACAAAAAAAACCCAAGGGGGAACATCTTCCCTAGTGCAATTAAATTGTCGTGCTGTCACAGCTGCAGTTCAGAGGGCACTGTTATTCTCTGGAAAGAATTTGAGACACAGTGGTGTACAGTCATGTTGAGATTCATTAGTAAATCCTTGAGGAAAAAAATAGGGTGAGGTTTTCTCACTAAAGAGAAGGTAATTTCAATTTGGAGCTTGTTAGGTGTATTAGACAATTTTTGGGGGTTTTTTAATGTTTAGTTACGTTGCTCAGTAGTATACAAATGTCTCAGTCCTTTCATTTTGCTTTAATTTCTGATTAAGCTGAGACAAGTAGAGCTTACATTTTAGTGATATATCACACATGCAGTGTGCTCTGATTTTGATTTGGTGTGTTGGCAATGTGTGTTCAAAACTTAGCTTTGAAAAGGAACGTTAAAAATTCTTCTTTCAGTTTTTGTTTGTTTGTACTTTTGTTTTTCAATACTTCATATCCAGTTCCAGGGTTTTTTAGTATTTGTTCTAGCTATGTAGATCAACGTGTTTTGTCATACCTGTACTCCAGTTGATTATATCTGAGAGAAATGTGATTGAAATGTTACTTAAAGCTCTTAGAAACTTATTAAATGCATCAGTATCGGTACTTAGATGCAAAAAGAGCACACCCTCAAAAAAATCAGGTTTTTTTCTTGTAAGGTAAGGGATATCAGTGCCCTTTGGACAGGATGTTACTCATTGCACACGCAAACACACAGTTTTACAGGTTTAGTGCATCTCTTGCAGCCACCTGGCATAGTCAAAGTACAGTGTTATGATTTCAGGTGTTTGTGATTTAGTTTTTGCTGCTGGAGCAAATCTGACATGACACAGCTCCTTCACTTCATGAAGAAAAGACAAGCTGATCCTGAGTAGTTAGACAGCAAGAACTGAGGTGTCAGGGAGGGGTTAAAATGGTGTATAATTGGACAAACCCTGACACAGTGCACTTCCGTGACAATATAGTCAGTTCTGTGACAATATAGCTGCAATAACTTTCACTAGATGCTTGCCTTTCCTCTTGGCCTTTAAAACAGGTGTGACAAGATAAACAGTACAGATGAGATTCCAGGACTTGGGGGAGAGGGCTAAGTCAAATTCAGTATTAATTTTTGAAACTGTTGAAGTATACATGACTCAGGCTTGATAAAATTGCCGTTCGCTTGCCTGCTAAGAGTTACTGCAAGGCTTTGCCAATTTTTTTTGTGGCTTCTTAGTGCTGTTAAAGTTTTCGGTGTTCTTGAAAGGAAAAATGGGAAGGCATTATTGTGGCCAAGTGAAGGTAAAAGTCTTAGGATAACTTTTTCTTAGGTAGAAGTCATGATGCTGCTTGTACACTTACCAGAAGTTCAGATCCTCATTCAGATCCTCACCACGAACCCGAAGTTCAGAGACTCGTGATCCTCACGAGACCCTGATTTTTTTGTTTGTAAACGTAAAAACAACTTTGAATTAGTATTTTCTGTAACATTCTGTCTCACTGGTTTTTTTCCTGTTACAGTGCTCGTACCCAGGAAAGATCTTCTACAAGACAACACTCCTTACTTAGATAAACCCACAAAAAAGCAAGAATCCTGAGGAAAATACGCCCCCTCTCCCCAGAAAGTTAATATTCTGTAATGACATCTGTCACAATCAACCAACAGTGTATCCCTGTTTTGAAGCTAAATTTTGAAAACAGGAAAACTGGTAACAAACCAGAGGCTGAAGCCAACTCGCCGTTTTTATTGAGTGCTGTGATACCATCGTGCGCTTCTTCTGTGGAAGCCACTAATATTTCTACAGAACTTAAAAGTACGCTGCTGGATTGTGTTACTTCAGGCAGGAATATTTCTCGTTATGACAGCTGTCAGACAGAGATTGTTTCCTAGCAATCCGGAGTTTGTCAGAGCTAAACAAAAATGAAATGCAGTTCTTAATCCTGATAATATTTATTTGTAAGTTTCTTGTTGATCATAGGCTTCTTTGAAGTAATGAAAAAACGTCCTGTGGCATGTGCCGTAAAATTTATACTTTGCACTGAAAGCATGATTTCTGAAGTGGTCATTAATTGTACACTAATATCCTGAGATTCTTGAGAGAGTTCTTAAGGGTTATCTGAATAAATTATTTTTATTTTACAAACAGAAGAGCATGTGTAGTGTTTTTCTTCTCTCACACACCTTGGAATGAGCAGGACTGTTAGAGTTTGATTTCTTAGATGATTTCTCTCTCAGCACAATGACAGAACCGAGCTGCAGCCTAACCTAGGGATGTTGGTTTAGATCATGTGGTTTATGAATTTATGGTTTGTATTTTAACTTGTGATTATTGAGTGACTTACTGAGGCATCCTCTGAAAAAGGAGCCTTGCTGGTTACTTGCAAGTGATGCAACTTGCCTGAAGTGGACGTATGGGGAGTTTAATTAGTAAGCCCTAATCACTTCAGGTTTTTTTTTTTAGAGACTTACTTGCTTCTTTTGGAATTCATCACAATGAGCTGTTTACTTCCATTTTAATTGGCACCAGGTACAACTGGTGCATGGCACCATACTAGGATCTAAATACCTCACACAGGAGTGAGGTGGTCCAGTAACACCCCTCAAATTCTCTTCCAAGTCCCACTGATCCTGTTTATTTTTAATAAGCCTCAAAGATGTCAAAATCGCGTATCTGTGTGGGTTCTGACATGGCTTCGTGACTGAGTAAACTGAGAAACTCGTGCCCTCATCCAGTCCCTTCTCCTCACACAGCGTGCCAGTGTTGTCAGTACTCCTTTCTTTAAAGCTGTTGCCTCTGGCTGCCGTGGGCAGGGCAGCAAACACAGCCTCAGTAACTCTCATTGCACTCATACTGCCTGCACTGTAGCTAGGAGGCAGTAGGGAAGTGATGGGGGGGTAGAGTGAAATGACTGCAGATCCTGCTGCTTGTGTTCTGTTGTCTCCGTTAGAATGTCTCAGTCTGTTGGGGATGTGCTGTTCAAGGCCCCTGGTGCTGTTGACTCCCCTAAGGACAAGGTATGTTCAGTGTCGGGTTTCCCGTCCCTCTGCAGCCTGACTGCCTTGACTTTTTTTGTCCCTATAGGGAGCATAAGAGAGGGGCCTAACCAGAAGGTAGTTGCAACTGTAAAGAGGGAGACAAAACAGAGGATCACCTCAAGCCAAGTGACTAACTTTTAAGCAGAAATAATTAAACAGAGTCTGGCAAGACTGGCAAATTATCTAACCACTGAGGTGTACATCCCATGCCACGTTGGAATTGGGGGGAATTCACCTCTTGCAGACACACTGCTTTAGGCTGTGGGTGTAGCCTTAGTGACTTTATCCTTCAGGCAGACTTCATAGAACTGAGGGCCTGGTAAGACTTTACTATTTCAGCACTGATGAAAAACAGCGTTGCCCGTTACCATCCAAAATACGCACTGAAAGACTCCAGTGATGTTATGGTAGGTGGTGATCTTTTATTTGGTGTTTGAGGAAACCACAGGTGGAGAAACTTTTCACATGTGGTATCGTGCTGTCATGTGTTTCAGGGTTTTATTTCACTCAGAACACGTTAGTAGAAGCGTAAATCCCTCACTCAGCACCCTCTGCGATGAGCGAATCCACAGGAGGCAGACTTAGTCCAGGCAGAACTCTCCTGTAACTTTATTACTCCATTTGTTTATGGAATAAGGGTCCGAGCCATCAAGCCAGGCCAGGTGTTACTTATCTGCACCACACATACCACACAGACACTCCCGTGGCCGCCTTCAGACACGGTCATGCTTCAAGCGGCTCTGCAGCTTGACCTTGCAGTTGTTTTCACACACACACACACTAATCTTAGCTCTGGCTCGCTCAGGACCACAATATTTTTGCTGTAATATTTTCTCCTATCGTCCAGGTGGCTGGTGGTGTCTTTTTAGCTGCTCCTACAGTGCAGAAGTGTCAGCTCACAGGATCAGGCTTGGGATTCAACAGGCACTTGTGTGCTTCATCTTGCCCGCATCTTGAATGCTCACAATAAAAATACAGAATGAGTCACCTGAACAGCATACACAGCTGGTGAAAACATATACTGCATGGTAACAAATACAGTTGGGAGAATTTAATTGCCTTCAGAACCATTCTTACACTCTGGGCAGTATGTTTGGGGACTGTACGTTCCATGTTCCCGCTGTCTTTGTGCATTCCTGGGCAGCAAAGAGGAGCTGAATGTTGCAGGTTTGAGATGAAGAAAACCAATGTGATAGGAAAAAGGCTACTGATGTAAGAGGCTGATAGGCCTGTTGATTGCTCTTATTCAATATGGTCTTAAATAGAAATCCAAAGGATACATAGACCAGGATAGACAGGTATCCAAATAAGTAACTGAGCCTAACAGTATTTCAGAGTTGGCGGCTGTTTGGCCCAGCAGGTGTTTGCTTTCTGCAAATTTAACTTTGCAGTCTTGAAAGACTCTCACAGACCTGCTTAATGAGCAGCTGCTAATTAAAGGCTTCTTTGTACTAGTTGGTGGTAGTGACTATTCCTCTTCCCCTGATTTCATGCTTACCTGTTGGTTCACATTCCAGAACCCTGCCATCCTCCCAGTTTCCATTTCCATTTCCATTTCACTCTGGGTGTGAATCTGTTCTTGATACCACTGGCTTTGTGCTTATACATGTCTATTTTCTTTAATTAATATCAATAATAAGTAAGACAGGAACTATTGTCGCAACCCCTCTGCAAAGTTTGAAGTTTTAACAGGGAAAATATTTTAACTAAATGGCTTGGGAGGGAAAAGGCAGATTTTTTACAACAGAAATTGTAATCTAATAGGCTTTTAATCACATAATTCAGTCATGTTAAACTTTTTCAGGTTTACTTTAACTGCAGAATTTTTAAAGCAAATGTATGTGCCTTTCCTTCTATAGTATGCGTCATTAGTCTTGAAAGATGAGCCTGGAAGGTAATGGTTCTTTGGACTGTAGTTTAGGTATGTCTGTGTCAAAAAATCAGTAGAGGTTTTCTGCAAGCAGAGATGCTGCTGGAAGGGCCTCACTGCTTGTTCAGACCTGCTGCAGTTCAGCTGCCACAGCCAGGAGGTCAGTATGGTCTGACCACCGTGTTGCTGTCCGGAGGTGCCTCCACGATCCCAGCAGAGACACCAGCAGCACTGCCCGGCAGGATCCAGTATTGTAACTGAGAGCTCCAGGTCTGCTCGTGGTAGCCTCATGTGTACAAGGTCTGGCAGAAGAGATGTCACCTCAGTGATTCCACACAACGAAATTCTAAGCGCTTCAGCTTTTGACATCGTCTACCAGGGATGGGTCTGTCAGAGCCTTCTGTCTTGGGGTTCTCTCTCATGAACTCTTGACTTCGTATGCACTGTAGCTTTATTGAAAGCGTTGAATACATCCTAAGAGTATTTCCTGTTTAAATATCGAGTTTTGAGTTTGTGCCTACAATCTTTTCCTCTCCTTTATTTGGCAGTTTCAAAACACAAGGTTTCTTCAGTTGTATTTTTTCTGCAAGCAGTAGATCAGGGTAGGGACCAAGTGTGATATTAGTACATTTGCTGTAGCCTGATACTCATAAAACACAGGTCATAGGTTTAATCTGTGAATTGATTTTATTTTGTGTGGGTAGGGTTTGAGTTGAACTCCTTATAGTCTTCAGGTGAAACAAGGTGGCTTTTCTAATTTAGCAGGGCCAAAGGAATTCCTCTCCTCTGTTCCTGTGCAATTTGGTAAAGGAGACAGTTGCTATTTTTACGGGGAGTGATTTTGAACCAGAGAGTGACTCCACAACGTGTTGATCTGCAAGTAGCATTAAAAATTTAACTTGGAGAAGTGGCTTGTACATTCCCTAAGGATCCAAGTTCTCAAGCAGTTTTTCAGGTAATATGAGATCAGCAAACCTGTGGCAACTTCAGGAACTAAATAAGCATTAGCATTTTTTTCTTAGAAGTCCTGCTGTCTGAAGGAGCTGAAGTATTCTGAATGCTGCATAACATTATGAGTCCTGTTTGTATTACAATGGACCTGTAAATACAGCTTCAAGTACTGGCAGTTCTTTAAACTTCCTTTACAAAAGGGAAAAAAATATTGACAATTGAAAACTAAAAATAAAGGCTGGCCAACTTACAGGAAGAGCTGAGTCCTTGTACTTCCCAGCATTAAATAACTCTTTCTACTAACTACTTGCAAAATTTAATGCCAAACTCTGAAGTTTGGTGGTCTATCAAATACTAGATTTTTAGCTTTAAGGGAAAGGAGGCATTGGGTTGAGGGTCAGACTCTTCTACCACACCTGCAGTGAGAGGACTAAAACTGAGACAGAGGAGATTCATATTACATATTAGAAAAAAAATAAAATTCACTGTTAGGGTGGTCAGGCATTGGAGTAGATCTCCCAGGGAGGTGATGGACTCACCATCCCCGGAGGAGTTTAAGAGACGTCTGGATCTGTCACTGGGTGATACGATTTACTGGCTAAGGAGTTACAGTGCTAGCTCTGGGTTGGTGGTTGGACTGGATGATCTCAGAGGTCTCTTCCAGCTTCGATGACTCTATGATTTTGCAGTTACGAGGTTTTGATGTTTTGATAACTCTAGTAGAAATCTAGTCATCTCAGAGGGTAAAGTATGTGTGGCTTTTATTGGGTAACTTTGTGGTGTAGATAATCCAGACATCTGATTCTGCTGCAAGACTTCACCAGTGAAGCTTTTGTGATAGATTTATTCACTGTTTTAGAATTCTGCTTACCTATGTCTTTTTGTTTGTTTGTTTTGTTTTTGTCCTGCCAGCAAGTGTAAGTCTGAGGAGAGGAAAAGAGAGGAAGGTCACATCTTTATACTTTGCGAAATAGCAATAGGTTTAAATAATTTGCTCTTTATATAAGCAAATATTTCCATTTAGTTAGGACCTCAATAATCTGGTTTGCATCAGGCAGAGGGGTAGTAAAAGCATCTACTTTTCAAATCATGCTTTAAATTTTTCTTGCAATATGTGCCTCAGGCTTTCCACCTCATCCAAAAGGCTATGGATTCACTCCAGGGTTGGTCAGGATTAAATAAACAGCTGGTGGAACTTCGGCCTCTGGAAGCAGGGGGAGAGGATGGCATGCTTTGAGTTGGGCCATGGAAGTGGGAACAGTTCCCCTGTTACACCTGCTGCTGCAGCAGT